AGGAGTAGGGTGAGGGCACTACAGGGTTCTGATTAGTTTTTGCTTGGGGTCCTCAATTTATAGCTCTTTGTTTCTAAATGAATACTTCGTTGTTCATTGTAATTGAAATTAATACAACTTCCACTACTACTTTGAGGTCCCTAGAGAGTTTATAAGTGAAGATTAGAGAGATCTTTTCTTTTATATTTAAAAACTAACAGAGGGAGGGATGCCTGGGTGGCTCAGTCCATTAAGCATCTGCCTTTGGCTCAGGTCATGTTCTCAGGATCCTGGGATCCAGCCCCACGTCTTCAGCGGGGAGCCTGCTTCTCCCTCTGCCCCTCCCTTCTGCTTGTGCTCGCCTTCTCTCTCTCTGACAAATAAACAAATTAATAAATAAAATCTTTAAAAATAAATTTAAAAAATAAAAATAAAAACTAACACAGGGAGACAAACCATAAAATGGCTCCTAAGCGTAGGAAACAAACTGAGGGTTGCTGGAGGGGAGGGGGTTAGGGGATGGGGTAACTGGGTGATGGACATTAAAGAGGGTACATGATGTAATAAGCACTGGATATTATATAAGGCTGATGAATCACTGACCTCTACCTCTGAAACCAATAATACATTAATTGAATTTAAATAAAAATAAATTAAAAAAAAACTAAAAAAAAAAAAAAACCAAACTAACAGAATGCACCACTAGGGTTTGTTGTTGTTTTTTTTCCCCCCAAAGTTGAGAAAGTTTTAGGGAACTGGAATAATTAATTTTATTTGCTTTTAAGCCATTATTGAACTGGACGTTAAATTTATTTATTTATTTATTTATTTATTTATTTATTTTTATTTTTTTTAAAAAAAGACACATTTATTCAGCGTCATGATCAGACTATTACATTTAGCAATCAACAGCATGGGTGCAAAAAAAAAAAAAAAATCTACATTAAAACCCTTTGTTGGAATGCTTTACACTTTCCACAGAACAGAAACTAAAATAACCTGTTATACAATTAGTCACAAATGCAGTCCTCGAGTTTTTTGCCCATACACATGAGTATTGTCTAAAACATGTCTTCTTTGTAGCAGCTAGGCCCTGCCACCACTGTGCTTGGCTGAGTTCACAAATCTGTTGTAACCTGTAGCTTCCCTGTCACTTCTCTGGCTCTCCTCTCCTGCTCAGCTTTGTTTCCTGGCAGTAATTAAAACCTTCTGCCACTGCCGTAGCTACTGCTGCTGCTGGAACCACCACAGCCACCTTGGTTTCGTGGTTTGGCAAAGTATTGGCCTCCACCACCATAGGGGCCAGAGCTTCTGCCTCCAAAATTTCCTCCTTTCATGGGTCCAAAATTTGAGGATTGATTGTTGTAACTGCCAAAATCATTATAGCTTCCGCCACCTCCAAAGTTGCTTCCATCATGACCAAATCCGTTATGGCCATCCCCACGGCCACCATATCCACCACCACCTCGACTGCCACCAAAGCCACCTCGACAACTGAAGTTCCCTCCACGACCAAAGTTGTCATTCCCACCAAAACCACCTCCACGACCACCACCAAAGTTTCCAGAACCACTTCGACCTCTTTGGCTGGATGAAGCACTAGCCATCTCTTGCTTAGATAGGGCTCTCCTTACTTTACAGTTGTGGCCATTCACAGTATGGTATTTTTGAATGACAATCTTGTCTACAGAGTCATGGTCATCAAATGTTACAAAAGCAAAACCTCTCTTTTTGCCACTGCCCCGGTCAGTCATGATCTCGATCACTTCAATTTTCCCATACTGTTCAAAATAATCTCTTAGATGATGTTCTTCAGTGTCTTCTTTAATGCCACCAACAAAAATCTTTTTCACAGTTAAGTGGGCACCAGGTCTTTGAGAATCTTCTCTTGAGACAGCCCTCTTTGGTTCCACAACTCTCCCATCCACCTTGTGTGGCCTTGCGTTCGTGGCTGCATCCACCTCCTCCACAGTGGCATACGTGACAAAGCCAAAGCCTCTGGAGCGCTTGGTGTTTGGATCTCTCATTACCACACAGTCCGTAAGCGTTCCCCATTGCTCAAAATGGCTCCTCAAACTCTCATCGGTTGTTTCAAAGCTCAAACCTCCGATGAAGAGCTTCCGCAGCTGTTCAGGCTCTTTGGGAGACTCTGACTTAGACATGACGGCGGTGGGAGGGGAGACTTTAACGATGCTTACTCGGCGGCGTCCACGGGCAGAAAGCTGGACGTTAAATTTATAATGAAGTTTTGTAGGTGTCTATGACTAGCTTTTTTCTTTAATAATATGTGTATACCACTGTTTTCAGTTCAGTGAGTGGTGTTTTAAAACTCAACATTGACTTCTATTTCCTAAAAATGAAAAACCAAAAAAAGCACTTCAAATTCAGGAGGAAAAAAACACAAATTATAAGCTGGTTATTTATAATATGTCATATATACATATATAATTATATGGGCATAAAAGGAGCTAATTTAGTTAATTTAAGAAAATTTTTGTGGTTGAAATATTTCACATGGTCTGCCAAGAGCTAGTCTTACTAAAGCAAGGATATTACTGCTTGTTCCTGAAAAATCCAAATCAAAAGAGATGGACTGTAAACGTATCTACATGTTAGGAGCACCATGTACATCTGTCTTTCTCGAAAAAGTCTTCAGAGCACTTAAAATAGAATTAAGGTGTCACTGTTTTATGTTATGTCTGCTGACATTACTTCTATTCTTGTTAACCGAGCACAGATGCAAAGGATGCTACCAACCAGACCTTAAATAGTAACCGCACAACCTCAGAGCTAGGAAGGTGGTACAGCTCCACACAAGGCCACATTCTTGTGAGCTCTTCCAGCAGGGAGGGGGGGTATCAGCTTGCACAGATTATTTCTTATCCTTTAAACTTGTTTATTAATACCAGTCAGTGCTTAAGAAGGCCAGGCCCTGTTCAGCATGGTCTGTAGGGGTGAGTTTTTCTAATCGGTGGAGAGTGTGTTATTAGCCCTGTTTTGCAGATGGTAACACTGAGACGAAGAGGTGGTCCAGCCAGTTCTCCGTAGAGTTAAAATTTGCAACTTCTTGACTCTGGAAGCTCAGGCTTCCACTCTGCTTTTCCATACCTTGGGGCAGGGTTGACAAATCCCTGGGTTATTAATTCTTGTGTTAGCTCTCTGGGAGGTTGGCATTGATATAGAACCGTCCCACACTGGCATGGATTTGGCAAAAAGAGCACAGGATTCAGGGTCAGGAGGCCTGATCCTTCTACCAGTTCTGCCTCTATCCCAGTGGTTGCTGGTGAGAATTCTCTGCCTTCTTGAGCCTCAGTTTCCTTAACTGGATAGGAGGCTTGGATCCCAGACAGCTCAAACATATGTAAATGTCACACCTCCCCTTTCCCAGAAGCTGCCTAGCTCTTCCCAGCTGGACAGAAGCTCTAGGTGTCCAACTAATCTCCCCAGGTGAGAAATGGGGCCAGAGTGGATGAGTCGGGGGCCACCAGGGAGCAGGGTGCTGCACTGGTCTGCTACTATTTATGTTGTTTTAAATTTTTTTTCTGTTTTATTATTTCCAAATTTTAGTTAGAGTCAATTCTCATTACTTTCCATGGCTCTGAGTAGGTCCTGCTCTATTACTTTTCTTCCTCTAAACTCCGGCATTTGAGATTGTAGGAGATCCTGCACAGCTCATAAAACCTCAGGACCAGTTCCCATCCGACTTTCCTCCCACTCTCCAGCCTGTATTCTGCCCAACAATACACTCCTTGGCCAAGGGCTCTGTCTTGGAAGTGAGTTCATTTAAGGGCAAGACTTGCATCGAGTGCAAGGGGATCCGGCAAGTGAATTCCAGGCCCAATTTTGCTTCTTCAGCTTTGCTGTGAAGCTTTGGGCAAGTTGTCTAACTTCAGAGCCTCATTTCTAAAATGGGTACTGTTATGTTTTAAGTAAAAGGGCTTGGGGCGAAGTACATAATAACGAACTCTTTTTTTTTTTTCATTTTTCTTTATTTTTTAAAATTTTATTATGTTATGTTATTCACCATACCTTACATCATTAGTTTTTGATATTATAGTCTTCCATGATTCATTCTTGTGTATAACACCCAGTGCTCCATGCAGAACGTGCCCTCTTTAATACCCATCACCAGGCTAACCCATCCCCCTCACCCCCCTCCCCTCTAGAACCCTCAGTTTGTTTCTCAGAGTCCATAGTCTCTCATGGTTCGTCTCCCCCTCCGATTTCTCCTCCTCTCTCTTTCCCCCCCCCTCTCTTGATGTGATTGTGAGGAGAGCAGATTTGGGTAGGGAGAACTAGGGGCGCTATCTTCTGCATGTAATAAGCAGTTACTGGGGACCCTTTTTAAAGTGAGGTGGGGTGAAAGGAAGCAGGGATGCAAAGTGAGTCCATGGGCAGGGATGGAGGCTGGAAAATAGATCAATATCCAGGGAAGCGAAAAGGGCTCTCACCGAATCCCCCAAAGTGCCCTGGGAAAGACAGGGCCTAACAGCCAAGTGCCCATGGCTTCAAAGAAGCTTGGGAAGTGGGGACTTCTCCCAAGTTGTTTAGTTTTCCTGGCAGAGGAGGGAGATAAAGGGATTTCAGAAACAGGGATCCAGGGGAGATCTCAGTCGGCGCGAGGCAGAGAGCTGACCAGCACTCGGTGGTCCGTCCCTACTGCGTCGGTTCGGTGCAGGTCACTCCGCAATCGCTCAGTTAAGGATCTGAGCTTTACGGGAGTTAGCCATCAGCTCTTTCATCGGAGCCGAGGGAGGAGGGAGGCAGACTGACGCTGGCACACCGGCGTGCGTAGGAGCACTGGGACGCCGGGCCCGCCCGACGGTGGGCGGACTTCGGAGCCCAGCGCCGCACCGGGAAGTGATCGCCGCCGCCCCGCCGCCTGACGCCAGCGGAAGTGCGAGCCCCGGGAGAGCCTGCTCGGAGGCGGAGCGGCCGGGAAGGGGCGGGAGCGGGGCGGGGCTGAAGGTGGCCGTGGCTCGAGGGGGCGGGCGGGGCCTGCAGCGGCGGGGCTTGGCGGTGGTTGTTTTCACCCAGGCTGCGGTGCCTGGCTTTCGCCTGGGGCTGCTCGGCGTGGAGGAGTGAGCTGCTGCAGAAAGGGGCGGTCGCCGCTGGAGGTAGCCAGGAGGGCCGGAGCGGAGCGGGCGAGTAAGCCCGTGGTCGTCGGCCGCCGCGATGTCAGCGCAGTGCTGTGCGGGCCAGGTGAGCGGGGGGGAGGTCAGGGGGGCGATGGATCGGACTACGGGACCAGGAGCCTAGGCCACCGCCGGCTTCCCTGCATGCGCGCCCCAGATCCGCGGCTGTAAGTGGGCCGGGGCTGGGTCGTCTGGGGCTGACACTGCGCAGACTGGATGAGTGCATCGGGCCGGAGCACGGCGGGCAGCCGTCGGGGAAACCCTGTGACGTGGGCGGGCTGGAGGGACACAGGGAAGCCCGAGAGGAGACCCCGAGGTCTTCCCGTCAGGTCTTAGGGACTTCGCTTAGGGCGGGGCAGGCAGGGCTCGGGCGAAGGAACCCGACTGTCCCCGGAGAATTTCCCCTCCTCCTCCTGGCACGAGTGTGTGGTGCTGAGCTCGGTAGCCCACCGGCTCTGCCTACCCGAAGAGCCCAGAAAAAGACGTGCGTTTGGGCAACGTCTCCTTTCTCATGCCGCGAACAAAACTCGGATCATATGGCCCAGGCAGCTTGCACTTGGCATCTAGCAAACCTAGAGCTTTGGCTCTGTGCCTTCGAGAACGTCTCGAAACCTTGTTTCCAAACTATGTTGCTCAGGGCCGGGTGCAGGGAACACTCAGCCCCGCTTCCTGAGTTTCCCGACGCAACCCTGGCTGGACGCAGCCCGGCTGCCTGGGCAGAGCGCGAGCCTTCCCGTCCCTCCTTTTAACTGAACTTGCCAGTTACACACATATAATATCTTAAAACATACATGTCTACTTGGGATAGGCGACTCCTACTGGTTAGTAGCGCATCTGGGGAGAATTACTAGGTTTTAACTCTTTTAATGCTAATTTTACACCTTCCCGCTGAGTAAGAAACTACGAAATAGGTAAAGTCTTCCGGATGCGGAGCTCCCTCCTCCCTATCCTCCCTAGTCTGTACAGCATTTCTGTACACAATTTTAATGGTGTGTTTTTTCAAATGAATCCAACTCCGGGGGCATTCAGGTACCGGGATGTTCTTGCTTTCTAATACATTCAGCCCTTAGGGCAATCAAGGCCAGTCCATAAGTGATGGAGGGGTTCAACTGTGAGTTTCTGTAACTGGCCGATTATACTGGCAGATAATCTGTCCCCCTTCCAGTGGCTATGTGAAGTTATCCTGGTTTTTGAGGTCTAATACAGTACTTGGCATGCATTCATGTTGGCCTTTTCAAACATGAGGAAATTGAGGTTTTTGTGGGTTTTCTTAGGTTTTTATTCTTAAGTAATCTCCATACCGAACCTGGGGTTCAAACTCACAACCCAAGACCAAGAGTCACGTGGTCCACCGACTGAGCCAGCCAGGTCCTCCTGAAAATTGAGGTTTTAACTTGAGGTGTAATGACTTGCCTTAAGTCAGGCAAGGAGAGAGATGATGCTTACCACCTTGCCAGGGCTTTTGAGACCAAGGTGGATGGGAGAGGCTATTTTCTGAATGTTCTCAATCTCAGAGCGTTGCAAATCTTTAATTGTTGTTTGAGATGCTTTCCAATTTGATGCCACACTTCCCATTATTTAGTAATTACAGATATTTAGGAGCATCTGTCCTCCCCTAGTCCCTTGAAAGCCCCTTGAGGCCTTCTGTGACTCCAAGCAGCTAATTTAGGGCTTTGAAAATGATTACCAGTACTCAAGTGGTCTTGTAAAAGAATTATTGGTATGGTTGATATTTTGGCAGGATTTAATGAGTTGTTTCTAAAATCCCCCTCTCAGGACTTTGGAAAGAACCAAATCCTGGCCATTCATCACAGGAAAGTTAACTTCTGCTTTCTCTGGGCTGCTTGAGGCAACACTGTGGTGGGTCTCAAGGCAGTGAGGGGTTGATGACACTGATTTCATCCGGATGGGGCTATTAAGGAGTGTACGTTAAAAAAAACCTCATAACACCATCAGAAGCTAAGTCTGCCGTGGGGCCTGGGTGGCTCAGTCGTTAAGCGTCTGCCTTCGGCTCAGGTCGTGATCCCAGGGTCCTGGGATCGAGCCCCACATCGGGCTCCCTGCTCAGCCGGAAGCCTGCTTCTCCCTCTTCCACTTCCCCTGCTTGTGTTCCCTCTCTCGCTGTCTCTTTCTGTCAAAAAAAAAAGCTAAGTCTTCCAATCTTTTCATTAAAAATTTTTTTTTAAATTATAATGAATGAACGAATGAGTTTTTCTACTCTACCAATCTTGTTTAATTTGAGCACCTATGAACTGTTTTTACTCATAGCATTTCTTTTTTTAAAAAATCTTATTTATTTATTTGTCAGAGAGAGAGAGGGAGAGAGTGAGAGCACACAAGCAGGAGAAGTGGCAGGCAGAGGGAGAAGCAGGCTTCCCGCCGAGCAGGGAGCCCGATGTCGGGCTCGATCCCAGGACCCTGGGATCATGACCTGAACTGAAGGCAGATGCTTAACCGACTGAGCCACCCAGGCTTCCCTCGCACAGCATTTCTGATATCAAATGTGTAGGGCTCCTCACCCCCGCCCCCCCACCAACCAGTTTCCCAACTCCCCGCACACCAGCTGGACTTACAACAATTCAATTCAGTTATGACACCACAGGCTTAGTCGGATAAGACTGTCTCGCCCCGCGTTTCAGATGCCAGTCACAAGTCTCCTGGTCCTCCCATACCCAGGAGGAAAACCAAATCTCTGTTTCTGGTTATATCACAACATCACAGCACCTACCATGTGCCAGGAGCTAGGGATAGGGCCGTGAGCCAGGCAGACATCATCTCTGCCCTCAGTCGTCCCGTTGTGGGGGGGGGCATCCCATAAACATGTTAACAATGAAGCGGTCAGTACTGGTACTGTAACCAGACCTGGTGGCAGAGGGGCTTTGGGTAGCTTGCTGGGGAAGCCTGCCTGAGAAGATGCTCCCGGAACTGAGACTGACCAGTAAGGAGAGGCATCCATGGCACGGTCTGGGTAAGGGGCCTTTCAGGGTTTTCGAGGAACGGAAGGGAGTCCAGGGTGTCATCAGTGAAGCAGATGAGGTAGAGAGGCAGGCAGGTCCGGATGTGGCCAGCAACTGTCAGCCACGTTTGGAGTTCGGGTTTTGTTCCCGTTCCAGTGAGGGCTGTGGTTTGATTTACGCTTCGATCACTTTGGGAGCTGTGAAGACTCAGCTGTATCAGGGACTAGAGTAGAGGCAGGGAGAGCAGTCAGAGCTGTTCATTCAGTGAATATTTTTTAACTGCCTCCTCTGTGTGTAAGCAGGCTGTAGCAGTGAGCACAAATGCCTCCCGATGGAGCTGAAATCTTGGCCATCTGCTGTTGCTGTAGTCCGAGGAGGAGAGCATGTTTTATCTTAACATAGGCTGTCGTGTTTACAGTGTGGTGTTGTGGGCTTCTGGGCTAATTTTAGAGGTAGAATTGGACTTTTGTGTGGATTAGGAGTGGGGTGTGGGAATGAGAGCGATTCTGGATTTGTCCCCGGCAACTGGATTGATGATGGTGCCATTTACTAGGTGAGATAGGAGGCTAAAGATTTTATGAATTTATTTGACAGAAAGAGTGAGTGAGAGAGGGAACACAAGCAGGGGGCAGAGGCAGAGGGAGAAGCAGACTCCTCTGCTGAGCAGGGAGCCCAACGCGGGGCTCGATCCCAGGACCCTGGGATCACGACCCGAGCCAAAGGCAGACAACCGACTGAGCCACCCAGGCGCCCCCAGTTGGATGTTTAAATTGGGAGAAGTTTGGGGGCGCTTGGCTGGTTCAGTCGGTAGAGCATGCGACTCTTGATCTTGGGGTTGAGTTCCAAACCCACATTGGGTGTAGAGATTACCTAAAAATAAAATCTTTTTTTTTTTTTTTTAAGATTTTATTTATTTATTTGACAGAGAGAGACACAGTGAGAGAGGGAACTCAAGCAGGGGGAGTGGGAGAGGGAGAAGCAGGCCTCCCGCAGAGCAGGGAGCCTGATGCGGGGCTCGATCCCAGGACTCTGGGATCATGACCTCAGCTGAAGGCAGACACTTAACGACTGAGCCACTCAGGCGCCCCTTAAATTTTTTTTTAAAGATTTATTTATTTGACAGAGAGAGAGAGCGTGAGAGCAGGAACACAAGCAGGGGGAGCGGGAGAGGGAGAAGCAGGCTTCCTGCTGAGCCAGGACCCTGGGATCATGACCTGAGCCGAAGGCAGACGCTTAACCGACTGAGCCACCCAGGCGCCCCATAAAAATAAAATCTTAAAAAAAAAATTGGGGGAAATTTGAGGTTGGTAATAGAAATTTTGGGGACTTTAACTGAAGACCTTTAGGAAAAATGTGTAAACCAGAAAAGAGCTACGGACTCAGTTCAGGGTTTGAATTGGGTAATCTGGACAACCAGGGCTGGTGTGAATATGCGCATTTTACCTACCCTCTATTATCCTTGGTTTTCCTCAACTGTAGAATGGGTGTGATAATATCTCCTGGGGTTATTTTGAGGATTACATGGGATCTAGACATACAGTCTCTAAAACATGGTTTGGCACAGAGTAAGGAACCCCAAAACTCTTAGTTTGTTACTGGCCAATACCCACCTGCGCCTGGACATTCTCCAGGTCATCTTATTTTTGCACAGACTCTGATAAGCACTTAGATTTTGCTTATGCTGTTGCTAATGGATGCTAATGGAAGGAGAGATGACAGGAGAGAGTGGTCACTCAACACTTTGTGGGTACCCAGCGCTGTGGCAGGTCCCTGAAGACTGGATGATGAACAAAGCTTCCTTGCTCTCCTGAAACTTAAGGGCTAGTTGGGGTGGAAATGTGGGGACAGCTAGCTACAGAAAATGATGGTACACACTGTCAGCGGTAAACGAGTTGTATAATTGAAAAATCTAGACAGTGCTTTCAGGGCAATTTGAGAATAAAGCTTGACAGGATTTACTCCAGGCAAGTGTAAGCATTAATGATAGTAGTAGCAATAGCTGAAGTTTATTTCCTGCCCACAATGTGCTCGCTGTTGTCTACCTACCTGTCGCTGTTATAGCGTACATTTTTCACAACAACCTAAACGGGCGATTAATGTTCTAATTGGC